TATAACCAAGGTCAGAATATAAAAAAATAATCGTCTGACATTCCAGTGCTGGTTGTTTCTCTTTGTTTTGCACTCTGCTTGTTGTGCCATCTGTTGTAATAGGTGTATTATTTTCCAGAGCAAATAGCTAACTGGTATAGCATTCTTATTGATTGACTAGTTTTTTAACTGAAATCACAGGAACTGGAGATGGAAAAGATCTGTTAAATCATCTAGTCCAACCCTTTTCCAATACAGGATTGGTCCCCATGATACTACTTCTAGTGCTTCTGTCCAGTTTCAAATAAACCAAGTGTTGAGGTTCCCTTGGAAAGCTATTGCATGGTGTAATATAGCTTGGTCACATTTCACCATGATGAAATAATCCCTGGTCATTGCTTAACATGAGGAAAATTTGTTGTTGTTTTTCTTTGCTGTTAAATGTGCTAGGTCGTGTACAAAGCACCTTTACTATTGCCAGTTATGTTGGATTCGTTACGTGTTGTATGGAACATCAGTAGAACTGTGCAATTGCTTGAATTCAGAGCCAGCAGTGAAGAGCAAATCATAACTGTTTTCTTTGATTTTAGTAGTTTTGTGCCTTTCATGACATTTATTTTAACATGGGCTTTTTTAAAAAGTGAAGGATTTTATAGATCGTTTTTCTTGGAGAACAACTCAGTTTCAATGCAATATACTAGATATCATCAGGAAACTAAAAATTATTGGTGTTGGAAACATTTACGCTATACATAATATATTCTCAGATAAATGGAGATTTAGGATTGTATGCATTTGATTCAGAGCTGCTGTGTTTTTGTAAGTGCTGTCAAATTAGTAAACAATTTGAATAGCTGTGAAATGTGACAAATCCCTTCAGTCCACAGCCAGCAGGACAATCATGCACTGACAAATGAGATTAAATCTCTGGTTAAAATGTTCTACCGGCCATTGTTTTCCATGATTTTAGCATGCACTTTTCTGTTTTATTACTCCTCTCCAGATATGACATTGACTAGAAAAATGGAGAATGAATTAGAATTAAACAGCCTATTCTTTGGGGGTGAACATGTTTTAATCATTAATATTTTCCCTTGTGGTTTTTAAGATTCTCAGATCATCAGATTAGTAACATGTGAAACATTGGCCCAGATCCTGCAATTGGATCCATATGGATGGACCTGTGCAGCCATGCAGAGCACCAGGGACTTAAGTGGGGCTCTACAAGGTTGCAAAGATCTACTTGTAAAAATACAGTTCTGGATGAGCAAGGAATACCGGATTGGTCTCAGACAACAAGAAGTCGGATTCTGGGGCTGATTGCTACTGAATGATATTATAATCTGCTTGTATAATATTAGCATATTCAGAAAACCTACTCATTTATTTTTACTTCATTTTAGTTCTCCCTGGTTGTTTTGGGTTTTTTATTTATTTGTTGTTTTTTAAAATTGCTTGGTTGCTGCTAAATATGTAGGATTTATTTCAGTGGCCAAATCCCATCGGCTTAGCCACTTTGCAACTTTTAACCTTATCCTTCATCTAGAATTCTGTGCAAATGGCTGCTTGGGCTACCAAATATACAGCATTACTGGAGTAATTCTGTTCAGTTACATGCATTCAATCCCATGAACCCAAAGTGGGGCTGCATGGTTAGTAAATGAACAGACTTTGACCACCTACCCTCCTGTAGAGCTGGGCAGCATTTTTTTGGACTAATAGTTTATTCACTGAGAAACGCAGTTTTGGGTCAATCACAACTATTTGCAATTTGTGTCAAGTTTGCAGAATAGTTTTGAGCGAACCAAAAAAAGTCCAACTTAGTAATGTTGAAGTGAAACTTTTCATTTTGATTTTCAGGCATTTTGATGAAAGGAAAGGAGGATTAGATTCAGCAAATGTGAGTGGTGGGAATGAATGATTATAAATTGCCACTGTGAATAGCAGTGGATAGTCAATGGGCTACGCAAAGAGAGCGAGAATAATTCTACAGGCTGGTAGTTGGGGGATTCACCTAGGCTGTGGGAGGCACAGGTTCAATTCCATGCTGCAATGACTCTTTAATTCTTTCTGAAAAGTGGAACAGTTTCAAGAGGAGAGATTGAGAAAGTCCATCCCAAAATATCCCATAGCCCAGTGGTGAGGGCACAGTCCTGTGGTGTGGAACACCCAAGCTGAAATCCCTTCTCCACATCAGGTGTAGGGGGAGGGGGAGAATTGAACCCAGGTGTCCCACATCTGAGGTGACTGCCCCAATCACCAGGCCTATAAAGAAGGCACCATGACCGCCTTCTC